TATATATATATATTTTTATTTTTTTTATTTTTTTCTTATCGTTAGTCAATTAAAATCAGAATGATTCAATTCTTTCAAATTTTTATAATATCTGCATTGAGCTGCATTAGTACCCTCACTGGGCTGCAGCTGGTTCACGCAAAAAAAATAAGGTCGGATAATTTTTGATTAGACCTCAATATATTATCTCAGTATACATATTTAAATCAAAAAGATTTTTAAAAAGTTTGTGTGTAACAATACATTTTAAACGATTTTTAATGTTTAATCCGAATCAATTACATTGCATGTTATTTTTAAAAGATACTTTATTTTTAACTATATGAGAAAGAATAAAGAATAAAGCATTTTTCTTCCAATTGAATATTTATATAATCACATCAAAACTTTCTTCTTTAGACTTTGTCAAATTTTCGGATAATAGACTTGTTCGTGGTCCAATTTCAACATGAATCCCTTCATTTTGACGTTGATGACAGAATGTTACCTCGAAATTATCAAGGCAAAGTCGTTTCGGTTGAGATTCCTAATTACATCAAAGGTATGATTGTTTGAACATGATTAAATGATCACATATAAATTTTTATGCTAATGTAACAAACAAAATTTAGAAAGATAAAAACAAAAAAATTTATTATTACTAAAAAAATTTACTATTGATTGAACATGATTAAATGATCACTTATAAATTTCTATGCTAACAAATAAAATTTAAAAAGCTAAAAATAAAAAAATTTATCTTCAGTTTATTAATATAATATATACGTATATGTACACACGTACATAAACATATATATTCATATACATACACAGACACATAAACATTGAAAAATTAAAATTAAAATTTCTTTACCAAATTAACTTCATTTAAAAAAAGTTGTGATAAATTTATTCTGAATATATTTAATCATATTTTTTATAATATAAATTGTCGTAGCATCCGTTATACTCCGCATGTTACAACATGTCTTTGACATAGATGCATTTTGGCAGACTATCCATACATATTTATATAAAAAGTAAGTAAGATATAATATAATATAATCTCTTATGTAATATAATACATATACTCTCTTAGAGTTAAATATAAAAATTGTCTCGTTCAATCGTTGCTTAAATATTTTTTTATTCCTTTTTTCTCTCACTTTTTCTCAATATTTTTAAATATATTTGAAAATATATTTGTCTTCCACTCTTCTTTCTATATATATAAAAGAAAGAGAAAGAGAGATGCGTAATAATTTTTTATTTCTTAATGCCATTTTTTACAATAATTAGTTAATGGCAATGTTAAATTTTCTAAATTTTGTGTGCTTAGGGAGCATCATCCCGATAATTTCTGGAAAGCTCTCAAAAATGCTTACGATGAAATAAATCCAGGATCATATGACATAAAAGAGATGATGTATCCTTGGTCAAAACAAAAGGGATATCCTGTGTTGAATATATTACATCATGACGCGGACAGTGTAAATATATCGATAGAAAATCTTGATGTAACGAACGAAAATCGATGGATACCTATCAGCTATACTACAGAGAAAAATTCCAATTTTAATAATCCTGCGCCACTTTTTTGTTTGAATCCACCAAAGAAACCGTTTAATCCGTATAATCAATATTTTATATTACCCATCGGATACAGAGAGAATGGTTGGATTATATTTAATATACAACAAACTGGTAAATCTTGATCAATAAATGTGTATATATTATACATATTTATATGCTTATTTTATATAATTGAGATTTTATATTATTTTACATTTCTCTATATATATATATATATATTTATATTATTTTATAATAATCTAAGATATATCTCATACATTATATAAACACATATTAGCCTAAATAAGTATGAATAATACTATAAAAAAATGTAGTGAAAAAATGCACAATATATTTGCATAAAATATTCTACTCCGTATACTACTTAAGATAAATATTATGTTAAATATTACTATTCAATATTGCATGAAATATAAGAAAATCATATTTTGTTTTTGAGAGAAATCCTTCTCTTAAATAACAATATTAATTTCCTGACAATAGGGACTAAAATTATATTTTTACATACATATATATACGAATCAACTTACCTTGCCTATGCCAATTATGATTGATCAATTATATGTTATATAATTAAACTGTTAGCAATTAATACAATTTATCAATTCGTGATAATTAGTGATTGATAGATAACTTTTGATATATACATATATATAGATTTGAAATATATATAAGTCATCTTTTTAAATAAATAACTTCTACTACAGGAGTTACTACAATAATTCTTCAAATTGTACATGTTAGATACACAAAATTGAAGATGATAATGATTATGACATAAAATTAAAGATGAAAAATATGTACAACACAAAATAGTAAAATAGATACATGTGATAAAATCGCGTTTGTACAATATATATAATTTGGTCTTTATTTATAACCAAATCATTTTTTAAATTTATACAATACTTTTCTTTTGCAATTTAATTCTCCAATTTAACAATACACAAAATTTATTTATGATGCGACAGGATATTATCGCGTCAACTATGATGATATATATTGGCAAAAAATTGCTCTATATCTGAACAGTGAGAATTATCGGAAAATACATGTTCTGAATCGTGCTCAAATCATCGATGATGCGTTTCATTTTCTACTATTGCACAAGTTAAAACCTAACACATTCTGGGTACTTACGAAATACCTATCGCAAGAGACAGATTACATAGCATGGTATCCTATGTTCAAAGCTATTCAATATATATCAATTTCTTTTTCATTTCCAGAAATGGGAGAATATTATATTAAGGTAAATAATGGTAGATTTCGTGAATAAAAATATTTTACATATTTATTGTTTCACATAAAATATTGGCTTCTTATAAACAAGTAGATATTTTTTTGAAAAATTAAGATATATGTCGCTGATATAGTTATATGCTTTCTTATAATCTCATTTAGATCAAAAATAGGAATTTAAAGAGCAAAAAAATATTCTTTTTTTATTATATTTTAAATATTAAACATTATATATTTATGTAATATGCGAATCAATTATGTATTAATCTTTTGTATTTAACGGTTTTTAGGAACAATTAAGAAAAATGCTGAATGGGCTCCTTCAGATTATAAAATACGAAGAAAAATCTACGGACAATGACTTTACTAAAGCTTTAAGGCAAGAAGCTGTGCAATGGGCATGCTTTCTTAAACTGTTCAATTGCTTAAAAATGGCCAACAATCAATTGAAACAACATCTCGAAATCTCTACAAAGTATACATAATTTTGTTATATAACCACGGTTATATCACACTTATAATCATAATTTTTGTATTTAGCATGATAATAAAAAAAATATGTGATACATAACTTACTCGATTAAGATACAAAACTATAAATCTATAAACTTCTATAATAAATATTTTTTCCTCAATATCGTAGACTTTCGCCGTTGTGGAAGAAATGGACTTATTGTTATGGTTTGCAGACAGCAGACAATACTACTTGGCATCAAATGCTGAATAAAATAAGAGGAATTAATGAAAAAATTTTATACTTTCTAACTTGCCCAAATCATCTGGTTGAGATAAACAACTATATATTAACATATTATACAAGAGATGATGCCATTGAGCTTAATTATAAGACTCCGCAATATAATATATATAATAACAAATCGTCTATATCTCTTGTATCGTATAATCGTATAATAACTCAATACGCATTAAGGCATTTTGTTTTTACTATTGCAAATAATACAAGAAACAATGAAACATTCAAGAAGTTATTAAATGATTTTGAAAATATAACACCCAGGTAATATAATATGTTCCTTCACAAATATATGCTGTAATATCATACACATGGAAATCTAGTATATATATATATATATA